GAGCAGTTGGAGGTTGGGTTCGAACTACAGACCTTCCAGTCCATGAGCGGGCGCTTTAAGCACTGAATAATCTCGAGCTCTGCTACTCGAGGAATTCAGTTTTCCCACATGTTTGACCTCGTGCGCTTATTAGCGGATTTCGTGTTTGATTTCGACTTCGTACTCGCATAAGCTGTGAAAACACGAGGAAGCGAAACGCTATCCGCACTTTGGCACATTTCAAAGTGTACGACCTCCGTTATTCTCAATCGCTGAAGGGCAACATCTTTGGCTTTCAAGTTCAAGACACAAATATGCCTCAATTTTTGCGGAGACTTCGTCCTGTAAGTAAGTCGTTGCTCGGGGAGCCAGTCAACACGTGTAACTGCGTGATGCGGACCCCGTGAGTGAAGGATGAGCGACGCTATATCCTGTCTGAATACAAGTTAATCACACCGCTGACGGTTAAGTGTTCATACTACTAGCAGGAAGTCGGCGGGTTCGAAACTCTCCGGAGTTTCGTTGGATGCGCACTGTTGATGATTCCCAAATAGGGTGAAACAGCTGTAGCGTGCTTCTCGGCTTTTCAGCATAGATTGGCTTCACTTACAGGACGGAGTCTCTACAAATCTCCCCACACTACCGACAATATCTCAATTTGTTCGCTGTTCTGAAACCTCCGTCTCCGCGCTATCCACGCCTGCTCTTTATACTCTATGGATTTTCAAAAGAAGTTATATCAAGAATGTGGGTATGAATATCCCGGGAGTGCAACCAGGATTTCGCCAATAAGGCAGTTGTTACAACAAACTTTCGGAGGAAAATGAAAGAACAGATTCTTACCAATACAACCGTGTGGATCCGTCGTCATTCTATAGTATGACTAAACCTGGCCGACATAAAGTTTGTAGCAACAACAGAATCATCTGGAGGTTTGAATTTGTGCTTCACGACAATGAATATCATCGCTAGGGGATGGGATCAAGATATTGGACCGTATGTCACAAGTGTAATGCGGTCCGCTGGAAGTCGTCATCACCCCCTACGTGTTTGGTTGCGGGCTTCATCGAATTTACCTTCACATTACTGTCGCCTGAACAGTCCTCCCTCCGTCCTTGTAAAATTTTTCTGGCCGGTCGAATGGTCACCAAACAGAGAGGTGAATGCAACTCGTGCCATCTCCGCATGTTATATCGTCTTTCCGGAGTTTCATATCGGCCATAAGTTCAGCTAACAGGCCCGTGATGTGTAATGTATTGTAAGTCAAGCCGAAAGAGAGCAGAGGAAATCAAGAAAACCAGTTATAACTGAGTTATGTCTACAAACTAAGTACATCTGCCTCGGCTTGATCCATCTCGTTTACCTTGACTATTAACATTAGCTATCCCCGCCACAGAAACATTTCGACTCAGCTCACGGTTCATTTGCTTCAGTATTCTCCGGGATTCCATACTTCACGACCTACTGAGCTTCATGCTTGACCTAGTTTTGTTACGTGATACACTGCATCCAATTGGACGCGGATAGTGTGGTATATAATGTATAGTATAACAAATAAGCATAAAGTTTGCAGAGCAACTAGTACGTCAGAGAACACAAAATCAATGGAACGTGAATCAGGAGACAAACGTGTCCACCTGTGTTTGCCAAGTTATTGGAACCAAGCACGTGGGGCGTAGTAACACGAAAACAATGACTAATAAAATTGCAATATGAATACAGTGCTACATTCCTGTCCGCGAGACAAACGTCAACAGTTCAGACAGTCATTTGAAGGCTACTAAGTCCTTTCCCAATGGAGGTAATTGTTAATCTCTCCCACTTGTTCCTTTCAACGCGATCACCTCACGATCACCACTCCCAGTCGATCACCACTATGGCTACCACCTTTGGTCACTGTCTCATCCGAGGGGAGAACAATCGAGTGGGAATCAGATTACCTAACACCAGTTTCTTTTGTTCACCCTTTAATTTAAGGATGGTTTTGAAAGATGATAGATATTGTTTCGGTGGCTGCATCCAAAGCCTAATGTCTGTTGAATTTGGCGGTGAAGCTACTTTAATGACCGTCACACAAGCTCAAAAATTATCCGCGAAGCAGAGCAATTTGTTCGGCATCAGAACAGCTCGATCAACCTGATCGCCTTGGTTGGGGTGGTCAACTAAAATATAATCGATCTTAATAGGCCGAGCTTCAGAAGCACTGCCGATACCATCTCGAGGAAAATGACTCGTTTTACGGATTGGTCTAGACCTGTGTTCAGCGTCTAGTATCCAGTCACATCCTGGTTCTAGCATTGACACATCAAACTCTTCTCATTCTCACTAGTGTTCTTCTTCATGAAATTCCAATCCGTTTTTGCTGGGAAGTCACATCTCAAAACCAACCGAATGTACATAGTGACAAACCAGTTCCTCTATCTGAATCGCCCGAAGGAATTAGGTAAACCATCTAAAAACTCCACTACATGGCGGCGCCTGACGTAAATATATAGTATCCTTTAGCAGTACTACGGGAAGTTTCCTTTAGCTAGAGGCACCGGCAGAGCTCTAGGAATCTGCTAAATACACTTATTTGTAAACCAATTTGCTAAACCAATCTGCTAAATACACTTACTTGTAAACCAATTTGCTACTAACGGGAGAATCCCAGGTGATAGTCTTCAAATGAATAACCTGCACAAAGCTGCTTCATGTTTCATTCGGTACGGTGTTCGAAGTATCGTATTAGCTATCCTGGATGGGATACTATCCATAAGGTTGCTGAAAACATCTCGCTCTCTTATCATCGTGTAGTGTAGTGGGCCACCACTCCGAACTTCCGTCAACTCTATCCCCCTACTTGAGTCCGGATGTTCCCAAATGATGAGATATTCATTTACGAATTATTTAAGGTGGTTCAACAGAATTTCAGTTGAGTCCTAAGTTTGGATATGAACAGTTGGAATCAAGCGCTAAATTTCAAAGCACAAGTTTTATGTACACTAATAAGAGTATTAATCTCTGTCTGCGCACCAAAGCAAACATTTTTTCTCGAAAGATTTACACACATACCAAATTGCGTGAGCTAGTTATATCTATTTGATTGGTGAAGTGTTACAAACAACGATCCCTCAAATTCCTCAAAAAAAAGGTGTCAACCTCCATATACTGGATTAACATTGGTCATATTCAATCAGTACTTTACAGGTATGTTCGCATCGTCATGTACAGCACGTCACCGAGCCTTGCCGCATTTCGCATAAGGTTTATCAGGACTGCTTCCAAGGCCGCGTGGCGCAATGGATAACGCGTCTGACTACGGATCAGAAGATTCCAGGTTCGAATCCTGGCGTGGTCGCGACTTTTCTCAATCTGCGTTCCGACTGATGTCCTTCCAATTTCACACCACCTTGGAAAAGCTTGCAACCTGAACATCTTGTGTTTTTCGGCACTAGGCCAACTTGAACAGCGGGTGTCGGCAATAAAAATTTGGCAAACAGGCAATCCTACTGAATGTTAGCAAGCAGTTTTAACTACTTACGAGTAGCCTCACCATAATTAACTCCTAGTACATCTAAATCCAATTCTTTCTGTCTTCCTGACCTAAATCATGCATCTGACTTCCTCATTCTGTTTCTCGCCCTGCCATTAATCTTATCACCGGACCTACTGGAATCAATAATTACACAGAAATTCAAGTCTGTTGAGGGGCTAGTATCAACTGGAAACGAAGTATCTGCCGAAATCACGAAATCACAAGAAAAGATTCCCAAAATGCTTTAAGGATTCTAGAAGTGACTCCCCGTGACTACTGGTGTGTAGAACAGAACAAGAAAACACACTGAATACATTGGTATACTAAGCCTGCGGTGGTGCTCTCTGTGACTTTCAATGGCTGTCACTATGGGAACCCAAACAAGCCGAAATAGGTGCATCAGGTGTTTGTCTTATCTGTAATTCATACCCTCAGTCTAATCGAAGCGGATACCACTAGCTCATTTGTGTCTAAAAACTAGGCTAAATCCCCTCAACTGAACGGTTTGGCATGGCCAAAAAGCTAATGAGACATCGAGCCCTACAATCAGAAGTTGAACTAATTGCAATTCCCCCCTAGCTGCCACGACTAACCACGGGAATGTGACAACCGGACAGAACAACACGCTGACTCCTGACACTCACGTCACCCAGGACTAACATCTAATTCGTCTCGGAAAGGTGTCGGAATGACCAACTTGCATTTCCAATATCCTCTTCAATGAGACCCTGTGAAAAAACTACAACAGCGAATGTATGGATAATTAAGACTCTCCTTCTTTGGCTGCTGAGGAAGAGAAGCAAAAGAACGTCGGTCATATTGCACTAAGAAATTGCACTAAATGGGTTTTCGAAGTTTTGAACTCTCTCTCTATCTCTATCTCTACCTCTCTGGACGAGACAGGACAAGCTGTTTAAAGTGAGATTCTTCTATATTCTTATTTTGGGTCACGAGTGAATTCATCACGTGACGAGCAAAAACAACTCATTTCCATTCACCAGGGCTGGGCTTATAGTGCAAAACGTCGTGTATTTAGGTCTGAACCAGAAATCAGGAACAGATTGATTGAAACTGATTCTACGATGTCGCCTGCGGAAAGTTGGCTTACAGCATCACTGGAGATCCGCCTGGTACAATACAATACGTCAAAAAAAAACCCAACTGACTTATTCGTTGTAAGTCCTACAAGAATCCAGGACGTAGAATTTTTCCACTTAGCTCCAAGGCAAAAATGGCTTATTCAAGGAAGCGTCAAAAACCATATAGAAAGGGTTGGTATCGATTGGAAACCACCACCCCCACTTCGACGAGTGTTAGTCTGTCAAGACTAACTCAAAACCGAATACTGTGAGACGCTAAGATCAAATCACCTTCATGTGATAACCGCTCCGCCGGTCGGCTTACGTGACCTGTGACCTGGATATAAGTTATCAATCACGGACTGATGAGAACTCCACCCGGGGCATTCATCCGGTTGACAAATAATCCATTCAACAGATGAGACCTGAAATCGTTCGCTAACGTAACAGTAATGCGACAAGAGATGGATGAATGAACAGTGGAACAAAACACGACTAAATGAACTTGTGTCACAAGTTGCCTGAGTTGTCGAAGCTGAGTTGCTCAAATGGGCTAGGATCTAATCCGCTTTACATAGTTGACTTCAAAATTGCGATGTTTATATAAGAAAACCCGATTGTCTCAAAATTATGAGCGAAACCGACTGAAACTGTCTCATTTTATACCTGTAAAGACGCTTTCGGTTGTCTGCAATCTGCAGGTACTGAACCAAAACGTTGCCTTTTGTCTCTACGTCTTACAACGACAACCTCTTTATTGGCCCTTAAAGATTACCAACCTACATCATTTTGGGGCGCACAAATATGGCCAGTCGATCGCATCCGTTCGACCTGTTTGCTTGGAAGCGCTAACCCTCGCATGACTCACACATGTTTACGACGGCATCCACAATGCTGGGATGGGAGAGAGTGGATGACCTTCACACAGAATCACGACAGCCGTCTGACAACATCACGTGATGAACGCTGCAGACGTACCACATCCAAATAACCGGGTGACCGCCACAGATTTCTCATCTCAGTTACAAACGTGTGGTTGTATCATGGTTGCTTCTAACACGGGATTAGGAATTTGCGATAAATATGGTAGGTAGAAATAATTCGCGGTGAAAGCAACTTTCGTCAAAATAACCAGGACGACCAACGAGAACAGGAAGTGTGGTTAGTCAGACTGATCGAGATGAGCTTCCGATTTATCGAAATTATAAACCTGTAAACATCACTAGAACGAGAAAAATTTAGCAGAATCATCATCATCATCACCATCAGCAGCAGCAGCATCCTCATCATCGCCCTCTTCTTCATCACTCACAGCACAAAATCAGCGTTCACCACTAATTCATCGTTTCCAGAAAACCATAGTTTAGTTGAAAACCTTGTCAAGAGTAGAAGTTGATGGGAAGGAGGGAAGGAGTTAGTACTGCCCTACCACCATCATTAGGAGATGCGTAAACTCATTCCGATAGAAACTTACAACAAGAACATGGCTGATGTCGATTAGCAGTCATTCCTTGATGTGTCCAACCGTATAAATGGGGCTCGTTCTAGAGGGTGGATGGTAGCGCTGGTAACCACATGTTTCGAAGCCGCTTTCACAACGCCTCTCTGCTTGCACCACGTTGAAGTGGGCACAGAAATTGCGCTGTTCTCAGCAAACGATGATCCGGCATCCGAATGCGATTTCACGGCGCCAATGCGAAACAAAGTCGAATCTCAAAGTGTTGCCACTACCGTAACCAGTCAGGTTCAGTAAAACAGTTGAACACCAAGCAGGGCGTTACCAAGATCCGTGCTATTTTTCCAAATCGTTTGAATGAACTCAACGCAAGTTCGATTAGTGGCCAGTAGATACAGTGTATGATTGGAATTGCGTTGCTGTGTATTCGTTCTGCCTGAATCACGGTGTCTACTCAGATCGTTGCCAAAAAACATTGTGATAATTCACTGGCCACTGATGACGGGTGTAAGTAGGCGCTGGCTTGAAACTACCATCATGGTTGCTGGTGTTCTATCCTCTCTCGTGCGGAGTGAAGATGTTCCAGAATGAGCGATCCATTTGTTGGACTGCGTATGTGACTTCGAATCAGTTCATTTCGCCTATTCCAACCCAAATGACTAGCATCACATTCAGGGAGTGTTATCATCACAAAGAGTGTACACACCAGTGTTTACGAATGCGTTAAAAACAGGTGCATCAGCGCAAAGAACCGCAAGGTTATCGCAACTCCGCTTTGTTTTGACTTGTTACAGGTCTACATCAGTTCTACATGAAGTTCCATTAAGGTTGTCCCATCGTAAAATAAAGTGAGCAATCCAAAATCTGGCCGACAAGCCTGAGGAAGAATAAACTGTAGTAATCATCAACTACCCCATTCTATCTAGCAGGTTGACTCAAAGAAAGGCTGTGCTTTGGTCCGGAACTCTTGATGAAAGCATCGCAACCAAGTCAACCAGTCAACACTAGCATAAACCACTAACAATGTCCAGATTGTTGTTAAGCAGTCCCAAAACACTATGTTCAGTTCTTAAAAAACATTTGAAAAGGGCTAGTTATCCTGTGGATGATCATTTTAGGGGTACATTTATTGACTTCGCTCGGCTAGTTAACTCACCTGTTAATGATTACAATTATCGTCCCTTGCACAAATCGCTTAGGTGGGATCGACCACCATCAGTGACAGCCATACAACTGACGCTCAACTGTCCATAAAAGAACCGACTAGAATCGGTCCGTTCTGGAAGTTCTGTAGCCCCTAAAGCATGATTTGGGAGAGCGGTTAAATTTTGTCTTTCCGAGCGGTGGTCACTCGAGGGAGTACGATTGGGGCACAAGACAATGATGAGTTAAGAGCGACACCAAACACAACAAACAATAAGATAAAAGAAGCTTGGAATAAACCACACTATGCTATACTATACCATACCATACTATACTATACTATACTATACTATACTATACTATACTATACTATACTATACTATACTATACTATACTATACTATACTATACTATACTATACTATACTATACTATACTATACTATACTATACTATACTATACTATACTATACTATACTATACTATACTATACTATACTATACTATACTATATACTATACTATACTATGCTGTAGGGTGGAGGACCACCACAGTTGAGCAGAAAGCATCAGTGTTTGGTCTGGGCTACATGGTGCTGGTTCCCCGCCAAAATAAAATCGATTTTCGCCCCCCGAATTAGACCATCCAAAGGTTTTGACCAAAACCGTTCATTTTTTAGCGTTATTCTCTTCTGAGAAGGTTGTATCCGTTGGAATAAACCTCAAGATATCAGGCGAATGAGACTTACTGTGGGAGTTGGACGCCTTTGGGTTAATCTGTACGGAGAGTGAAACACACTTCCGGAGTAATGGCCACGCAGCTGTATTAAGTCTGCACAGTCATAACAAATGTTTGAAAGGTGATGAAACTGAGATGCATGGTTTGACGTCAAGAAATTTGGTGGTTTTCGGTTATAGCTAGGGGCTACCGTCGTAGTTATGTTATTTTAGCTAGCCAACTTGACCCTTGGAGCGTAAATCAGTGGTAAACTTCCTCTCAAAATGGACCGTTGTGGAGTGCTACCTAGGCCTGGTCTGTTCAGCGAAATAAGAGTATGTGCGGTAAACTTGATCACGAGTGTTCCAAACTATTACGTGAAAAAAGCTCTGTCTTTTTACAACTGCTGTATCCTCAACAATTCTAAAGCCTTGAATGTGCGGGATACATACTACCGTCTTAACAAAAAGTTCCTGCATACTCGTCAAAGGAGCCTGCCATTCGG